CCCCCCCCCCGTCTCTCCCACTCCGTGTCCAGAGACCGTGCAGCCTCCTCCCCCCGCCGGCCTCGCGGTGATCCACATGGTTGAAGGGGAGAAATTGGATAGGGCCCTAAGCGTCTGCTCGTGATCTCGTCTTTGTCGGGTGATATGGCCCTTCATGGGCGTGACCCTTTCCGGGCATAGTTTTGCCCAGTCAATGGCCGGGAGGGAGGCTTGCGTGCTGGTGGCGCAGAACCCAGGGGGGCGCGCATATCTCTCCCGCGAAGCTTCTCCCTCTCTCCGCCACTTGAGGGTGTCCACCAATCCACAGGCCTCAGACTGTCCGGGGGGGGGGGAGCAAGGGCCTTTTAACCGATCAAAGGCGGGAATATGGTCGGATTTATATGCGTGAGGATTTGTGTGTGCCGACCCTTGTACGTGGCTCCGTTGCATGCGCCCGGCGGGCGCACTTTTCCAGGAGTGGGCTTGGGTCATTTCCGCGCTTTTCCCGGGCCGTGCGAGGGATATGCACGGGTGTATGTTTTCGCATCCCTATGTAGGGGGGACCGCTGCGGCCCTGCCGTTCCTGGTTGGCGTCTTGCCAGGGCGTCCCCGGAGTGGATAACCCAAAAGTATAGCCCGCTGGATTGTGTGCGTGCGTGCGTGCGTGCGTGCGTGCGTGCGTGCGTGCGTGCATGCGTGCGTGCATGCGTGCGAGAGCAGCCAGCCCCTGAGGGTGGCGAGGGGGGCGGCCCCGATTTTTCCAAATGTGAGTTTCGGGCGTTGTGGGAGCCAGAGCAAGCACAGCCTACAGATGGATCAGGGGAGCCGAGGACACTTTTAGAGACTACACCGGCGGGAGGGGCGGGGCAGGGGCGAAGATTCAACGCTGCTGGCGGTCGCTATGGTGGGCGAGGGAGACCCCCCGCCCCCGCCGGCTGTTCTCTCTGGCCCGGGCTGCCGCGGGCCCCGATCGGGGTGCGCCAGTGCGATGCCCCGGATAGGCGGGCCTTGGGTGAGGGCCTTGGGTGCGGACCTTTCGGGGCCGGACGCCCCCCCCCCCCCCCCC